TTACCCCTTTAGCAGCTCAGTCTATTGTGACCCATGGCAGGATCAAGTGGAAAATCCCTCCAGCAGACATCTATGTCTCTATCTTGATCCACTGTCACACCAGACTCTAAGCCTAGAGGCCAATGATCACTGAGAAAGGAAAATTTTAAATAAATAAAATTTAAGTGCTTACCAAGTTCTTTAAATACATTATCTCATTCAATTCTCACAATTATTGTTATTCCTATTATATAGGACAGAAACAAAGACTTATGAGTAGGTGAAAGTTAGTCCATTTTTAAGTGCCTCAGTCAGGCCAGAAATGAACCCAGATTTGCCTAACACCAAAGCTCACATGCATATTCACGTGATTCTCCTGTGGTCTGCGTGGCTCTGTATTACATGTAGCCCTAAAGTAGAAATCAAACACTTGGCGCTCTCTCTCCTTCCCTAAGTTTTAAAAACTTTTTCACCTACTTGAAACTAAAAAAGACAGCAATTTTCCCCATCCACAAACCAGCTTCCTTTCTTCCTTTTTCCCTTCCCTTTTCATACACAAAGAAAGAACCTAGACTTTGTTCTTGTAGTCAGACTTTTCTTTTCCCTCGTAACTATTTCTATTAATGCTACAGGCACATTATTTCTCCAAGTCAAGAGCAAACACCAAACTTCTCTTCACCATCCCCTTTACTATAAGTGACTGATTATTGAAAGGCCTTGGCCATTGATCTCAAAGCTAGAGGACTGCTGTAGTATACAATGAGTTAAACACAGTGGTTAGTTTCTACTCAGCCTTAGACAACAAATGCTGACACAGTGTCTACTAAAACAGTGCATCTAGAAAGTCTACATGGAAAGAATGTAACTGGAAATAAAAGTAACAAAGAAAATTTGAATTGACCTGCTTCTTCAATTATATACAGAAAGTGATGAGAACCATGGCAAATCACAAAATCATGATGAGATTCACAGATTTGCTTAGCTAGCTTTGAAAATAATCAGCAAAAACAAAATTAAATGAAGCCATTGCTGATGGAATTTCACTAAAGAGCTGATTCTATTATTTATTAATTCTACTTCTGGTGGAACCATGGCATTTGGAACACACAGCTTTATTACATATTCTGAAATATGGGGACTTTTCCTCAAAATAGCTAAACATTTCCTTAAGTCTTTCACCAATGATGTGCACTTGCTAATACTCCCAGTATCCAGGTTCTGAAATTCAGATAGCAGGGGATACTGCCTAACATATGGAACCTTGAAAACTGTTGTAAAACAAATATTGTTTTGGCAATGAAAAAAAGAGTAAAAATGTGGCACACACTTAGAGGGAAAGAGGCAAGGATTTTTCTGCATTTGAATAGAGACAAAAAAAAAAAAATCATATCCCTGAGTAAGTAAATTCCTTTTCACAACAGGAGCCACACAAGTAGTGAGTATGTGTAAACTTATATGTAAATATACATCTGTGTATATGTATACAGACATACTTAATTTTAAACATGCACTTAAACTATACTTTAAAAAGCAGTAAGATTGTGGACCTCCCTGGTGGCGCAGGCGGTTGAGTGCAGCGCTGTGAAGCTGTTCGCAGCCTCTGCAGTGCCCGTTTGAACCCCACCGGCCTCGGAGCAACCCACATGGCGAAGCAGACCTCTCCTGTCTCGCCCGCTGCTCCCCTCAGCAGTGTATTTCAGTAGATCTGCCTGCTCTCCCCACTGTCTCTGGTGAATCCTCTCACACTCCCACGTGTCAGGCCTGTACCCTGGCTCTTATATAAATAAAATAAATCTTTAAAAAAAAAAAAGGAGTAAGATTGTAATCGCATTTTCTCTCTAGCTCTTTGAAACTGCTCAAATAATTCAAACATTAAAAAATGAAAAGTGTAATAAGTTGTGATATCTAAGGCTATTTTAGTCACATCAAAAATAATTTATTCAACTCCTTTTATGACTGAGTAATGACTATTTACTACAGATTGCAACTCTTTGCTATAATGGAGATTCACTAACTCAGGAACTCAAGTATCAACCAACACTTATTCTACAGTTAATTCTATTATCTGTACTCTCTGTAAGTACACGGAGAGCCTTCATTTGCATCATACAACACAATAGCCACTAGCCATATGAAGGTATTGAGCCCTCAGAATATGACCAGATGCATCCTGGATTTTAAAAATATTTCATTTTTAAGATTATTGGTAATATTGAAATGATATTTTAGATATGTTGAATTAAATAGTATAGATCATTGAGAAAGGTTTTCACCCATTTGATTTTACACTTTTTAGGTGTGGCACCTAAAAAAACTTTAAAATTATATATATGGCAGATTTTTCTTTTTATTATTAACTTACTGCATTTCCACTGAATTGTGGAAATTACTCAACCTAGCATACACAGAATCATAGTATTTTCCAAGCAAGTTCAAACCTCTTAAATGGGGAAAGTATTCTTTATTTAGCCAATATGATGTCTGTGTGTTATCTTTCCAACTACATTAGACACTGAGGTGATTAATGAGTAGTTACTATATGTCTGAAATTTCATTCATTCCTTCAAAACTACAATCTTACTTTTATCAGAAAAGAAGTTCTATTCTTCATGACACATAAAACAAAAGTTTGTGGAGGATGTCAGAATATGCCATCTTCAAATATGCCTCTTTGGCATAAGGATTATTTTGAGTTGAAGGCACTTCAAAAACAATAAATGCAAGGACAGGTTTTCTCTGAACTTTTTTTTTTTTTTGCCTAAAGAGATACTCCCCCAAAACCTCAATTTATTTTTTTTTTTGAGTTTTAAATGCTTTAATGCCCTAAATTGTTTCTACATACTTCTTTTTTTTTTTAATTCTATATGTTTTTACATCATTTTTCATTTTTGTATAATGTATGCATTTTCATCTTGGTTATAGTCCCCACACAATTACTACCCCCGTGTTTTGATCCTACTCCCTCCTCCGGCCCCCCGCAGTGTGTAGTGTGTCTATAGTTTATAATTGCTTGTTGATTTTGATTTTTACTTTATTATAAATTGTCTATTTCCTGGTCCCTTTTTTAGGTTTTCTAAATTCCTACTATGAGTGAGACCATCCGGTATTTTTCTTTTTCTTTCTGGCTTATTTTGCTGAGCATGATCCCTTCCAGCTCCATCCATATTGCTGCAAATGGCATGAGTTTATCTTTTTTGATTGTTGAATAATATTCCACTGTGTATATATACCACATCGTCTTGATCCAGTCATCTATTTTAGGGCATTTGGGTTGTTTCCATAGCTTAGCTATCGTAAATAGTGTTGCTATAAACATAAGGGTGTAGGTGCCCTTTGGAATTAATGTTTCTGTGTCCTCTGGGTAAATACCTAGGAATGGAATTGCTGGATCATATGGAAGCTCTATGTTTAGCAGGTCCAGAAATCTCCACACAGCTCTCCATAGTGGTTGGACCAGTTTGCACTCCCACCAGCAGTGCAGGAGAATTCCTTTTTCTCCACATCCTCGCCAACATTTGTTGCTGCTAGCAAAACCTCAATTTTTATAAATCTCCTCTAGGGGAGTGTTATTAACCAGGAAAGACTGACTTTTATGATAGAAGAGATGAGAAGTTGAACACCACTCCCAGACAAACTTACTCACAAACTAGCACATTCCCCATCTGTTCTTTAAGGGTACATCATTTATCTTTCCTAAAATTCATTTCCTCTCTCTAAAATTCATTTAATTCATTTAAGTAGCCTATACTTTCTCATCCCTATTCCTTTATTAAGAAGATATATAAGCTCGCAAATCTCACTACTTTTTGGGGCATTCACTTTTTTCCATGTGATGATTCCATGCACATATTAAAAATTAATGTGTATATCTTTTCTCCTATTAATATTCCTGTTGTCAGTTTTTTTAATAGACTGAACTATCTAACCTAAAAGAGTAGAGGGAAAGTCTTTCCTCTGCTACAGTTCAAAAAGTTTAATGAGGAACCCAAGATTTCCCCAATGGAGGTTTTTTTGTTTTAAATTTTCTTTTCATTTAGATATTTTTTACATCATTGTTCATTTTTAAACAATGTTTGCTTCCTCCCCCTCCTTCAGGAGTAGTACCCATGGAAGTTCCTTCACCAAAGCACCTGTGCATCATGACTTCAGTCCCCTGTGCTCCTTCCTCCCTTGCTCCCTCTGATCCCTCTCCCTCTTCCTCCTCTGCAGATGTCTCTGGTTTATAATTGTTTGTTTTTGTTGGTCTTTTACCACATTGTTACTCCTACAAAAACAGCCAATACATTTAGGAGTACTAATCCTTCAGGGGACTTTTTTTTTAATCTTATATTTATCTTTTGTCACTCATTAAATCTAGTCTTATAATGGACACCATCTGATCATTCCACTAAAGGCTTGAGGTAGCCTTGGACGATCCTTTGAAATTCAATGTAATTTTTAAATTTTAGATGTAGTGTTACAGGACAATGGACCAGAGCTCCCCACCTGTACCAAAGACCACAAAAAATAAGTCTGAGTGTCTATTTTCTGAATTATCACAAGAATGGCACATAACTACATATACTCTTGAATTACTGGAGTAATGCAGTAGATGCCATGTGGTATTAAGGCTCAATTCCTCTGTGAAGCCCAGTTAAGAAATGATCAGAACCTAATGTCTCGATGACTAAAATTCATAAATGAGAAGTTGTAGTTTCTGAGCTACTGAAAGAATACTTCCAGAAAACTCACTATCAAAAAGGGACATTAATATTTTGTCTGGCAAACTGTATAATTATCCTCTGAAAAGACTTCTAAGAGTTATTTAGAAAAACTATTTAGTTATTAAGAAAAAAAAGGAGTAGGATCAGTAATATCCTGAACCTTCTTTAAACATTAACTATTTTCATATTTAATAAAGAACATTTGTAAAGTCTATTTTATTTCAAAGCTTTCATTTTCAAAGTATTATTAGTAATCATAGTATTATTAGTAATCACATATATGTTAAAAACATTTGGTAATTTATAGTTATACTTTACCTAGATATACCAATCCAAATCCCCCAGAGCCAATCATCTTTCCCAGCATCCACTGTTTTCCTTCCATATCATCCAAAATCTTGCCTTCTGGAAGTGGAACAGGAAGCTTGTATTTCCCATTCCTTCTTGGTGGCATCACTACTGTTGGTAGAAAGAGTGAGATAAGTAATCAAAAAACAAAAATGCTTTTGAGTTAAACACATTCCTCAAACTGTCTTCTGAGGTTCCTAGAATTTAGGGTTTAAAAGTCAATTCAGTTTGGGGCCTCCCTGGTGGTGTAGAGAATTGAGCGCAGCATTGTGAAGCTGAAAACCAGCCTCTGCAGTGCAGGTTTTGATCCCGGCCGGCCAGGAGATACTCACTCACATGCGGTAGACCTCTCTTGTCTCGCCTGCTGCACCCCTCAGCAGTATATTTCAGTCAGTCTGCCTGTTCTGTTCCCCACTCTGTCTCTGGTGAATCCTCTCACCCACCCGCACTTCTGGCCTGTACCCCAGTTCTTGGCTGCATCAATAAATAAATCTTTAAAAAAAAATAAAAAATAAAATAAAATGTTGATGAAGTCTAATTAAAAAAAAAGGTCAATTCAAGGCTTGCCTTGTGGCGCAGGCAGTTGAGCGCCGCACTGTGAAGCTGTCCGCAGCCTCTGCAATGCAGGTTCAATCCCCGTGGAACAACCCACATGGTGCGGCAGACCTCTCCTATCTCACCCGCTGCTCCCCTCAGCAGTATATTTCAGTCAGTCTGCCTGTTCTGTTCCCCGTTCTGTCTTTGGTGAATCCTCTCACCCTCTCGCATATCTGGCCTGTACCCTGGTTCTTTTATAAATAAAATAAATCTTTATTTATTTTTTTTAATATTAAATTTTATTTTTATATTCCCCCATACAATTGCAAACGCCCCATTCTGACCCCAATCCTTCCCCTCCCGCCCCCCCCCCCCAACAAGTGTCTCTGGTTCATAGTTTTTTGTTGATTTTGATTTTCACTTTCTTATATTCATTTTCCTGGTCCCTTATTTAAGTTTTCTAGATTCCTGCTATGAGTGAGACCATCCGGTATTTTTCTTTTTCTTTTTGGCTTATTTCGCTGAGCATGATCCCTTCCAGTGCCATCCATGTTGCTGCAAATTGCATGTGTTTATCTTTTTTGAATGCTGAGTAATATTCCATGGTATATATGTACCACATCTTCTTGATCCAGTCATCTATTTTTGGGCATTTGGGTTGTTTCCAAAGCTTAGCTATTGTAAACAGTGCTGCTATAAACATAGGAGTGCAGGTGCTCTTTGGAATTGATGTTTCTGTGTCCTTTGGGTAAATACCTAGGAGTGGAATTGCTGGATCATATGGAAGCCCTATGTTTAGTAGGTCCAGAAATCTCCACACAGCTCTCCATAGTGGTTGGACCAGTTTGCACTCCCACCAACAGTGCACAAGAGTTCCTTTTTCTCCACATCCTCGCCAACATTTGTTGTTGCTAGTTTTTTTAATATGTGCCATTCTCACTGGTGTGAGATGGTATCTCATGGTAGTTTTGATTTGCATTTCCCTGATTACAAGTGATGTTGAACATTTTTTCATATGTCTGTTGGCCATTTGCATTTCCTCTTCAGAGAAGTTTCTTTTTAGCTCTTCTGCCCATTTTTTTGACTGGATTATTTTCTTTGTTGTTGCTGAGTCTCATCAGCTCTTTGCAGATTTTTGTGATCAGTCCTTTATCATTAGTGTTGGGTGCAAAAATGTTCTCCCAGTTCTTGTACCCTGGTTCTTGTATAAATAAAATAAATCTTTTAAAAAAAAAAAAAGTCAATTCAGTTTGGGAAAGTCCACACATTATACCCTATTTGAGATTCATAGACATTACAAGACTGAAATCTAAGAGGTAGTGCTTAAAGCAAAAACAAATCTGTATAAGTTTTTGAATATTTCCAAGATTCATCTGGGAGTCTATAAATGCCTATAAACTGTGGAAAATACACCTTAAGAAATAAGGAATTAACAATTCCCAAGGCCAAAAACAAAATAAATTTCATGTACAAATACTTCTTTCATTGGAATGCTAAGTGTCAAAGCTGAGAGGGTCTTCAGTCACTGGCAAGAATACAGCTTTGGATTGGGAAGACATGGGCAGTGACTAGGACCATCACCACAAAGCACTGCAACTGACAGAACAGGCACTCAGTAATTATTTGTTAAATGAGTCCAGGATTTTCATGGATATAGAACTTGGAGCACTGAGCCATGGGGCAGTTCCAGGGCTGTCAAACAAAAGCATGCTTAGACAAGTTTAATCAATTAACAATAATTATATAAAATTAGTGAATTTCACAATGAGATTTCGAGTTGAAAGAGAAAATTTCTTATGTAAAATGGCAGTATATATGCCTGAAACTAAAGATGAAGGTAATGTGATCCTGTAAATAATGACAAAGCTTTTTTAAAACCAATGACCGTTTTTGAAATCACAGCTAAATTTTCAATGCATGATCTTCCCATCTTCCAAATGAGAAAGTTTCTGTTCCTTTTATTGGTTTTCAATTCACTTTAACACAGTGCCCTGCTCTCTTTTACACAGCAGCAACATCCCGGGTGGGGCTAGGAACACAGCAGAAAGAAACCTGTTCGCCTGAGACCAACACAGTTGAGAAGCCAGGAATTGAAGATGGTGAACCCCACCTACAGCTGGAAAAGGGTGGGTTCCCTTGACCAGTGTTTTATACAGGTGCCCAACACATATTTGCTGATTTAAAACCTAATTATCTTCGAAGACCACTTTCAGCAAGACACACACCCTAAATAAGTATAAAGGGGACAAACACAATTTGGGGGTAAAGTCCTTGATAGAACTTCAGACTTGAAAGAACCTCAGACTTGAAAGATAACTTTTGGCTGTGAAATTCACCCCCGGGGAGCAGAGTCCGAGTCCAGTTTCCCAGAAGGAGGCTCAGCCTCCTCACAAGGCCAGTCCCTGACGCGGCGTCCCTTCTGCCTCTGGGCTCCTTCCTTCCCAGCACTACGATGAAAAGCCCCCACAAAAGCTTCCCGGGACAAACCGGTATCCTGGGGTCTGACCAGCAGCAAGAACGGGCTCGCGGCGGGAGTGCTGGCCTCGCCGCCCATCCGCCGCCCGGCAAGCGCCGGCCAGAGCTACCCGCCAACTGGGGCCACCAACTTCCCGCCCAGCGCTCGCCCGCCGGCAGGAAGCGAAACCCCGCCCGCCCCGCGCAGCCGCTGGGCCCCACGCTTCAGGCCAACGCGAGCTGAAGGGGTGTCGGCTTCTCCCTCCGAGGTGGGGAAAGTATAGAAGCAGCGTGGAAGCAGGGATTGGGGGAAAGTGAAGCACCAACCCGGGAAGCGGGGGCCGCGCCCGCGCCGGGCGCCGGGAAGCGGCCTGGAGGCCCCGGCGTCTCCCTCCGACGGCAGCTCCTTCCCCGGCCGGCAGGCCAGGCGGACACGCGGGCTGAGGCGCGGGCCGGTGCTGACCCCGGGCGCGGAACGCGGGAGGGGGCCGGGCCTCCGCGTCTCCAGCTGCCAAGGCCGCGCGCGACGCCTCCCGCCAGCAGTTTCGGGCCGGGCGGAGCCTCCAATCCGTCCCGCGGGGAGGCGGGCCTGGCGCCCCGGCGCGCTCCCGGGGCCAACTAACTTCTCCGCACCTGGGCGGGGCGGGCGCGCCCTGAGCCGCTCCCGGGGCGGAGAAGCAGCCGGGTGGAGCCGCCGCCCGGGTGGAGCCTGGCTCGGGCCGCCCTCGCGCGTCTCCTTCCCACTGCCCGGCGGTGCGCTGGGGGTGCGGTGGGCCGGAGGGAAAAGGAGGGCTAACTCGGAACAGAGAACTGCATTACTCCAGCCCCTCGGCCACAGAGTTGGATGATGAACCCTCAGATCAGTTTGGTTCACACACCAACCCCGGTTGGCTCCTACAGCTATGCTAGGCCGGCTCTCGGAGTAGGAAGCTGGAAGTAGGAAGGCTTGGAACACAGCTTTTAAGTTTTCATGGGCGTTTTTGGCATGAACTGATTTCTAATAAGTCAGGGATACCTATCATGACTTAAAGTACTTCACAAAATTTCGTTTTATTTTTGCCTGTGAACTGGAAATAATCCGAGCTACAAGGTTTGAAAAGAAAAACAATATCCCGACGCTTATAAGATGGTAAGGAAGACTTCATTAAAGACTATTGCAAAAGGAGAAAAGGCTGAGTTCAATTCTGTATACAAAGAAAGACAGGAATGTATAGCCAAGAAGCAGTGGATACAGAATTACTAAGAAGAAGCACTAGGGACAAGGCGGATAAACAGAGCTAACAGTCTGGCTGAAGGTACTCTAGGGTGATCAGAACGCTCATTGGAGTATGAGGAACTCCATTTTCGGTTATGGAGAATGGAGGGTTCTGACCAAACTGACTTAGAATTCTTACTAAGACAGGACAATATGGGCCTCCCCTGGTGGAGCAGGCGGTTGAGCACCGCGCTGTGAAGCTGTCTGCAGCCTCTGCAGCACCAGTTCAATCCTGGCCGGCTAGCGAGGGTCCCACATGGCGAGCAGACCTCTCTTGTCCCGCCCACTGCTCCCCTCAGCAGTCTATTTCTGTCAGTCTGCCTGTTCTGTTCCTTGCTCCGTCTCTGGTGAATCCTCTCACCCTCCCGTGCATCTGGTCTGTACCCTGGTTCTTGTATAAATAAATAAATCTTAAAAAAAAAAAAAAAAAAAGACAGGACAATATATAGCGAGGTTATGGAAGTACAAAAATCAAGGCTTCTGGGAGCGCCTGAGTAGAGTTTACTCAAGGAAAGGATCTTTTTCTGGTTATTAGTTATGATAATTAAGTAAGAGAAATATACTTAAGTTTTCTAACACATAATAAAGAGCTTATAATATTTCATAGTAGACAAAACGATTGCTCAGAAAGCAGTTATTAAATAATATACATCAGCATCCTTTCTAAGAAGTCAGTAATTCTTTGGGATACAAATACTGAAAGGATAAGTAAAGCCCTCTAGTGACTGATGTAGGACTTCCTACATCTATCAAACTTACCGAATGAAGGATGGCATGAGAAGACATTTAGTAAAGAGCACTCGGTGCTGTGGATATAAAAGTATTTTAAAAGAAATTCAGCAGCCTGTAATGTAGAATAATTGTGCTCTTGAGAAAGCCATTCACTAATGGGGTAATGTCCATTCTTATTTCCATAAGATATAATGTAACAGCTGTTATTGGTTTTCGATCCAAATATCCATATGGGCATTCTTTCTCCAATTCCAAACTTGTTCAAGTTCCTACCCACTGCCCCAGTTACTTTCTTTGGGAAGATTCCACTCCAGGACCAGCCACAAAAGCATAGTTATTTGTATGTGAGGGAACATACAAGGCTAGTCTCTTTTAGATTGATATACCCAGACTTTTAGTGCCTTAGTCATTGTCAGAATACCAAGGACCAGGTGCCGTATAAACAACAATAATGTTATGCTCACAGTTTTGAAGGTTAGGAAGTTCATGAACAAATCACTCCCTAAAGGCCCCAACTTCAAATACCATTACACTGAGGACTAGTTTCAATATCCACATTTTAGGGGGACATAAGCATTGGGTTTCTGGCAGTTTTTAAGTCATATTAGCTCAACCTTGAAAACATGCAGAATCTATTATTTCTCAACTCCGCTACTGCTACCATCCTAGTCCAGACCATCAAGTCTGTCCTGAATAAACACTATCCTATTTTCCACCCTTCTGTTCCTCCAGTCTATTCACAACTGTTGTGTGATCTTTTAAATGCTTAAACTAGATCATTTCTCTCCTCAAAACATATTTGTCTAATTCTACTTCACCAAATATCAACTGGCCCTCACTTTGACCTAAAATAGCATTTTTCAACCGTGTGCTATTGACACTTAGGTCAAATAATTCCCGTTGAGAGGGCAAGAGGAGTGGAGAGGTGGGATTTGCTGCACACTGTTGCTTATTTAGTGGTATCTCAGGCTTTGCTGGTGTTTCCTCCTTCCCAAGTTATACAACCAAAAATGTCCCCAGACATCACCAAATTTTTCAAATTCTGTCAAAATTGTCCCTAATTGAGAATGATTAATACTTAGAGTGATCTATCAATATATGCTCCCATATCACCAATTTCCTATCATTTCCTCCAACCACTGCGGCTTCCTTGCGGTTCTTAAGACCTTTGCCCTTTTCCTTCTGTCTGGACTGCTCTTCGGTCTGGTGCTCACATGGCCTTCTATATCATATCTTCAGGTCTTTATTCAAACCTCAGTACAGTCAAACCTTCCCTAATTACCCTATTTAAATTTTCACTCTACCCTCAATGCTTCTAAGCCCCTTTTCCTTTTACCTCCTAGCACTTTGTACAACACACTATACAAGTTACTTATTTATTTTGAAAATAGACAAATAGTCTTCCCTCAGTAAATTGTAAATTGTATGCTCCATGAGAGCAGGCAACATTTTTTACTGTTTTAGTATCTACTATATTCCCAACGGCTAGGGTTATATATAGAGAAAACACATTTCTTGTTAAATGTATAAATAAATCTTGATGGTCCCATCCCCCTTTCCAGTGATTGATTTACATATGAAGTACATAAGAGGTTAAAAAAAATACAGATTTTTGGGGGGCACTTGTATAAAGAGATGGTCTCTTCTGGATATCATTCTGGGTATGATGCCTAGAATTTCTGCAGTCAGTTTGTGACCATAAAGATGGGACAAGGTACAATCTAATACATCAAATATGACACAACATTCAACAAATGAGGCTTGTTGTACATATCCATATGTATAAGAAAGGAAAGTAAGAGAAAGAGAAAGAAAGAGAGGAAGGCAAGAGAGAGAGGGGGAGAGAGAGAGAAAACAAATGGATCACAGACAAATTTAAATACAAGAGCTAAAAAACATAAATTTTTTAAAAGATTTATTTATTTATGCATACAAGAGCTGGGGTACAGGCCAGAGATGCAGTGGGTGAGAGGATTCACCAGAGACAGAGTGGGAAACAGAACAGGCAGATCTACTGAAATACATTGCTAAAGGGAGCAGTGGGTGAGACAGGAGAGGTCTGCTGCGTCATGTGGGTTTCTCTCTGGCCGTCCAGGGATCAAACTCCTGCTGCAGAAGCTTCAGATTGCTTCATAGTGCGGTGTTTAACCCCTGTGCCACTAGGGAGGCTCAAAACATAAGTTTTGAAAAAAAAAAAAAAAAAACAGGAGAAAGTTCTTATGATCTTCGATTTGGTTTATCTCTGTGATCGTCAAGTTTGTGTATTAGAATGTACAAAAAATAAAACAAATCTAAAAGAAGAAATCAATACATTGACTTAATCAAAATTAAAAACTTTTTCTCTTCAGAAGGTGCTGTTAAGATAGGAAGTTTTGGAAAGTACGTGAGTAATAATGAAAAGGAAAGCCAGTAAACAAATGAAGACAGTAAAAGTCCCATTAGATAAACATTCCAACCCAAGTGCAATGAGCAAGTTTGTGTTCCCTTATCACTTGCAAGTTCTCCTTTTGTCTGATGGATTTATTGCTGGTCTTTACACTAACAAGGCTGCATTCCAGGAGGAGGGGGCATGGCAGAGTAAGCCAACTCTTTATCTTCTGGTGCCCCTCCCCCCCCATTGTGTTATTACCCTTTTGCTCTTCCTCCACCTGAAGGACAAAATGTAATCTACCCACTTACCTATGTTAAAATAACTGAATATAAAAGGAAGCATGTATGCTCAGGGCTCAGATCTTAGAAGGTGAGAACTCTCTCATCTCTGGTGCCCACTAGTGTGATAATAATAAAACCTGTACCCAGTTGTCCTTGGAGTGCCATTTGGTCCTTCCTAGCTTGGCAAAATAATTTTCCATAACAATAAGAACTCTGTTATATTACTGGTGGGGATCCAAAATATTACAGATTTTGAAAAACAGCAAAGCTATTAAAATGTTAAACATATAATTATATATGGCCTAGCATTCATATTCCTAGATATTTACCCAAAAGAAATATAAACCTGCATCTACACAGAGGCTTGTATGTCAATGTTTATAACATCTTCCTACATAAATCAAAAATTAGAAACAGCTCTGATTCCCGTCAGCTAGTGAATGGTTAAACAAATTGTTGTGAATAATATATCTCCTATACAATTGAATATCACTCAGCAGTGAAAAGGAACAGAATGTTGACACAAGCAATCACCTCAAAAGCATAATGCTGTATAAGGAAAAACACAAAAGAGTACATACGATATAATCCCATTGAAATTGCCAGTGACCTGGTTGGGAGTGGGAATGGGATTAATTATAAGGGGGTTGGCAGAATTTTCTAGAGTGCTAGAAATATTAATTTCTTGAATACGATCATAATTACAAGTTATACATTGGTCAAAACTCATTACATACCT